ATTATCATAATAATACTTCCCCTCTGTTTATTTGTCATTGCATCTTAACTGTCTCTTTTCCCTGCTACATGACTCTTCTTGGTGGTTTAAGTAGACATTTAGCCCTTGTTTGGCCCTCAGTATAATGATATTTTGGAAATAATGTATTTTGTATTAGTAATTTTTTAGAGAATGTTTGGTTAAAAAAAAAAGAAAAAGTTTATGGTTTACGTGTAATATTATTTTATTGTAGAATGTTTGATTGGAAAAAATAGAAAAAAAAATGTATTAAAATTCTAATGGGACCAAACAAGACATTAATGTGTTTGTAAGTGGCTGAACAGATATATAAATAGTTTTGTCAATTGCAATCGTGGATGTAAAGTACAATAAGTTGTCAATTTAGTTACTACAACCGATCATCATTCTAAATGGCTATTGCTTGGGGTTGATACATGACTATCTCCATATTTTTCATTTTCTCTGTTGTTGTTGTTGCTGTTGTTGTTGTTGTTGTTGTTTTTGTTAGTAAGCACCATTTGGCCCCATTAAATTCTATTTTATTTTTCTCACTTTTATTTTCAACTGTACAATCTTTCATAAAATAATATTACACGTAAATTAAAAAAAATTCTTCTTTTTCAACCACTTAATTTTTTTAAAAAATACCATTCCACCTATTTTCATTTCAAAAATGGGGGCTAAATATGCAGTCACTCAAAACTTCGCTTAACTGTCAGGGTAGATTGCTATTTCTACATGATATCTTCATTAGTGTATTCATGTTATGCCATCTACCATCTCAATCTTGAATACTTATCTGGTTCTTACATCTGGAAAGGAGGTATGTCGGGGTGCTATGCAAGGATGGATTCAGCACCTAGCGAGCCGACGTAGTAGCCCGTGCTAGATCAGTCTTATATATATATATATATATATATATATATATATACACAATGTGCAGATCATATGGACGACATTGTTTTTCCATGCAATGAGACACAAGTTCGATTCCCTTCTATAGCATTCTTACTCTTAATTTTTAAACACGGTAAATAATAACTAAATATTGACTGATAATTATCCTGACCTTCAACGAAAGGGAATGTAGCTCATATGGTAGAGGGATCACTTTGTATGTTAGAGGTATGGGGTTGAATTTCGTGGACTTCTATTTTTTGTTTAAATTTTTAATACAATAAATAATGACTAAATAACTATGTATTATTAGTTTTCATTTTTGAAATAATTTCTTTTGAAAATTTATTGACTCAAATTATTACTTCATAATATGTATACTTTTATTGTTAGGTTTTATCAATTTATTTTCTAAAATTCAAATTTAAAAAATCTAAGTGTTGCTTTTTATTATTTTAAGAGTTTGAAAAATACATTTTTTTAAATTAAAAAATTATTCTAATTCTAAAAATCATTATTTTCAAAATTTTGCATAATCTTCGCCTAAACTCAGATCTTGTCTTTACTTTTTAATCATGCTTTACATATAAACTTCATTTTATCTCGTTTAAGTTTGGAAAAAAATTTGAAACTTGATCATGCATATATTATTGGAAAATGTATTTTTCTCATTGTTTTGGGTTGTATTGAATTACATTTTTAGATGGGGTAATTGGCACAGAACGTCTCTACCTTTCGAGTGTATTGTGGAAAACGTCCATATCTTTCATTTTTTGACATTTTTGTCCATATTTCCACATTTCTTTGCGTTGAACGTCCTTTACACTGTTTTTTGGTATAAAATGATCAATATACCCTCCTATTTAAATAAAAGAAAAAATAAAAGAAAAGAAAAAATTACAACTCTAGGCGAAACTTCTAAAAAAGTGCAAATACGCCCCCCCCCTCCCTCCCAAACTTCACCTTTTTCCCACATCTCATCCCCACGCCACCACCACTTGTCGGCCATTTTCAGCCACCTTCCGATCAGCTTGGCCATTGGATCAATATACCAACTTGAAGCCTTCACTTCCCTCTTCACAACCCACCCAACCACTGGCCGGAAATCTAAAGAAATAGGCCAAAAAATTGCGCCAAAATAGGCTGCTCATGCAACATGAAAGGACCAAAAATGGAGGTTGAAAACTCCATTTCCGATGACACCCATGGCACATCCATCCTCCAGGTCGATTATGCTCCTCATTGAGCTCTTATAGATGTCTTCATATCATCAAACAAAGTTGAAAATCAAAATCTACAGCCAGAAAATCGAAGTTCACGTTCGGCCGGTAGTTCTTGAGTTCAATCTTGAAAATTGATCGTTTGGTTGATGAATTGATGTAATTGATGGAGGACCCATAATTGTTGCAACATTAATTGACGATTACATGATAGAATTGGTGGATTGAAGTCCTGTAGCATCATCAATTGAAAGGGATTAGTCGAGTTTCTTTGAGCACAAACTGTCGATGCTGTTTCTACAATTTCTGACCAAAATTGACGATGACCCCTAGGTTCATTAGGTTCGCCTTGAAGAGGTGATGCTAGAAGGGGTGGTCTGCGATCTTCGATTGTGACATCGACGCCGAAAAATGTGTTTGAAGCTGCCAATTTCATTGTTGAAGAAATCGCCTGGTTCTACAATTTCTGGTTAAAATTGATGATGATCCATAGGTTCATTAGGTTCTCCTCGAAGAGGCGGTGCTATGAGAGATGGTCCATTGTTGTCAATTATGACGTCGGCACCAAAAAATGGAGTTGAATTTGTCGATTTTGCTATTGAAGTTGCGTGGACAGCCTATTTTGGCGCTATTTTTCGGCCAATTCCTTTAGACTTCAGGCCAGTGGTTAGACGGATTGTGAAGAGGGAAGTGAGGGCTTCAAATTGATATGTTGGTCTGACGGCCAAACTGACCGGAAGGTGGCCGACAAGTGGCTGTGGCATGGGGGTGAGGTGTGGGAAGAAGGTGAACTTATGGGGGCGGGTATTTGAACTTTTTTAGAAGTCGGCCTATAGTTGCAATTTTTTCTTTTCTTTTCTTTTTTCTTTTATTTAAATAGGAGGGCATACTGATCATTTTACACCAAAAAAAAGTGAAAAGGGCGTTCGACGCTAAAAAAAATGTGAAAATAGGGGCAAAAATGCTAAAAAAGAAAGGTAGGAACGTTTTCCACAATACACTCGAAATGTATGGACGTTTTGTGCCAATTACCCTTTTTAGATGTATAGGATTTTTATGTTTTAGTGTACTTATAAATTGATTGAAAAAAATTTAATATCATTTAATTAAATATTAATAAACAATCTTACTATTATAGCCATCAAGAATCAAAGATCGCCCTAGCTAACTCAATATCCTAAATCCACACCGGTGCCATGGGTTGTGAAAGGGAAGCTTTTGCTCACACAGCCTCATCTTGTAAACCTCATTCTTTTTGCACCACATTATCATATTTTTGATGGACCAAAAAGGGCTGATTACACTCTTGGCAAACTTTTCTTTTCCCTAATTGTATGTTCCTAAGACCCCTGAGAATCCACTGTCCTAACGTAGTATTCCTGTCATTTACTGAATCAAGACAATTTTATGTAGAGAATTCAAACTTGAGAATGAGTTATTTAGCCATCTTTGGGCCCAATTTTGGTAAGAAAATATATCTTGAAATAGTGATTTTTTGGAGAATGTGTTGTTAAAAAAGAATGAAAAGTTTATGATTTACGTGTAAAATTATTTCTCGAGAGAATGCGTGGTTGAGAAAATGAAATTTCGAAATAATGGGAGTCATACATATGGGCTTCGTCTCTTGGTTATGAAGTTGACTCTCTTCTCATTAGAGACCACTGACACACTTTGATATTAAATATTGATGACATGTTTGGAATGTAGGATCAATTATTAAGAGTATCATATAATTAAAAAACTATTGTTAGTTCTCATGGTGGTAGGTGGTCACACTTGTTGATAAAGTTGATTTCACAATCTATCCTTAGAAAGTATCATGTGTTTTTGTACTTGTATAGGTGAAAAAATAGAAAATAGAATGTTTATAATAATTTAATAATTTTTCTTGTGCTCATTTTCGTACGTGTCATGTATTATGTTGTACAATTTTGACATACTATCTTATTGATAAGTTATAACTGAAATTAATTAATTAATAAATCCCTAATTGCCAATAACAATTATTTTGTTGTCAATCAATCTTAGATTTACTTCCTATTACGCAACTAGTGATTGTCTTACGTTGCTTTATCTTATTTGTGTTCAAAAATTCATAACACTTTAAAGGATTGTGTCCATCTGGTGTCAAGCTTTAACGTACATCAAATCCCTTTTTATTTTCAGTGCAAAAATTATTTGAAACTTGACTTATTAAATTAATGATGTATTATTACGATCAAGAAAATAAGTTGTTAGATCTATGTAGTAATTATGGTTACAATAAATTTCACGGTAAAAAATCTATTTAATTTGATTATAGTTCACGAAATATGTAAATATACAAATTGTAAGAAGTAGAAAGAATACCATCGATCACTCAGAAGCGGGACTTTTGATAGGAACTAAGACGCTCATTGTTATCTAGACTCGTGATCATAGTACGTATGTCGTAGCACCCTCCCCAACCACAAGCACCCTCGATTCAGGGGATCAGAGAATTTCGTTGCTTTACCAAAGGTGATTACAAACTCGACACGAAATGACGATAAAATCCTTCAAAGGAAGCCTATAAATGATTTTAACGTTCAATTTAAAGAGAACTTTTTTCTTTAAGAATTCCTCGTTTGCAAAAAAAATAAAAATAAATAAATAAATAAAATAATTGATTAAGAAGGGGAAAAAAAAATAGAGAGAGACACTAGTAAATTAAGTCATAGGTTATCAGGAGCCATAAAATGAAAAACAAAAATAAAAATCCAACGGTTGATAGACACCCTTAGCGGAAACAAGAAGCCGCTATTGCCCAATACTTTGGAATCTTCATACATGCACCCTTCATTTCTCCTTTACAAGCGCTCTCTCTCTCTCCCCCCCCCCCCCCCCCCCCCCTCCCCCTGGCCGTGCTGGCCTCATGTCCTTCATCTCCGCCGTGCCGGAAAACCAAAGACCCTGTAATTAAAATCACACAAAATTTTATTTATTTAAATTATGTCGAGAAATTTGAACCAACTGAAACTTTGTGTGTATATGTGCAGCTGTGTTCCGGTCCTTGTTATTTGAAGCAGCTGGAAGAACGGTGAACCCTGTGAATGGGGCGGTTGGGCTTTTATGGTCAGGGAATTGGCACGTTTGCCAGGAGGCGGTGGAGACGGTCCTCTGTGGTGGCGCGTTGAGGCCAATCCCTGAGTTAACCAGCAATGATTCAGTGGCTGATGATGCCGATCCATGCCTGAATTCACGATCCAAGCTGCTAAAACGCCGTCGTTTTCCTGATGAACCTGCCAAGATAACTCAATTAGCTGATCTTGATATTAGTTTAATACCATGTTTACAGAGTAAGAAAAACAGCCCTTTGCCGGAGAAGCGGCAGCTCGGAAGTCCGATGAATTCTGAAGAATCTGTGACCACTGTTTGTGGAGATCAGCAGGCAAGTGAACCAAAGCTGCTTAACTTGTTCAAGTAGGTTTAGTTTTTTGTGTTTTGATCAGATTTTGGCTTCGTTTTATTTTGATACTTTTTAGTACTTTCAGTCGAGTGTACCAAGCATGTCACGATTTTCCTCGGAATCCAATTCCAGCAACTTTTGTAGATCATTGGCGCAAGATATTCCTCTTTTTCTTCATGATGATATGTATGAAATGAAAGAGGGGAACATGAAAATTTGCTAGTGATTTCTCTCATTTTCTCTTTGATAGTGTGTGACACATTGAAATGTTGCGAATAAAGAGTAGTTTTTCCATTTAGCAAAAAGTATTCTACCCAATGACAATGTATACAGTCGACTACGTAAATATTTTTCTATTTCTTTGCTGTGGAAAGATACAAAACAACTCGATTTCTAGCACTTACAAATTACGTAGATTTTTTTTATAACAGATTTTTTGAAAATTGATTATTTTTGAGAATGAGTGATTAAAAATAAGTGTTAAAAAATTTATACCAAATATGGACTTAATCATCTTAATTTTAGTCTCACTAAATCAACCGTATGCTAAAATAACAAGTTGTTGACTCGATCAGAAGAGATTTTATTGATAAGGTGATTTGGCACCTCATACAAAAAGTTCCACAAAATAGAAAGTATTATAGTACATCATCCTTTATTAACCCGTCTAAGCAATATTCTAGTCAAGGGAACAAGGAATTTTGATTAGAGGGATCGATCTTGGTGGTTGACTTTGCGATTCTTTGGGAGATATCAGCTCTCTTAAGATTATTGCTTGAATCGTGTTATTGGTTGTCAGGTCTGGATTTTTTTTTGTTAACTGTGCCTTAATCTCTTGAGTATTTTGCAGGGGCTATATGAGACCGGTGGTTGAGATTTTTCTATCCACTCTCGAGTTACAATATATTCTCTCTCTCTAAACCCTAACATTTCATTTTTCCTGTTTAATTGACCTTGTGTATAAGAGTGTTAAATCATATCACTTTAAGAGTATTTTTTTTTTTTTTTTTTTTGAATTTTATACTTTAATTTTTTTTTTTTTAATTTTTTTTCCCCTTTTACTTTTCCTCGTCTTACTAATTTTGTTTTTGGAATTGTATACTGTAATTGTTCTCTGTTTAATTGTTTTTCCCCTTGTACTTCTCCAAATATTCCCTGCACCTCTCATGTTTCGAATTGAGCCTTGACCTGGGGTCTTTGAGCCTAAATGAATCTTGGTGAATTCAAACACAAATAACTTGGAGTTATTCACTGTGTTAATCTGTTCTTGATATTGCAGATATTCCATATTGTATGACCCTGTGTGTGTTGTCAAATACTTTATGGAGAGTATCTAAATTTACTGTTGAACATTGACTCTTAAAAAACCTTTTTTGTGTTGATTAAAAATTTTCAAATGACAAGTATAATGTTTGAACTTAGGGTTTTTAATGGAAAATGAGATTTCCCCATTTGGCAACAAAAAATGAGAGAAGTTCTTATTCAACATAAAGTTTCAAAGGCAATAACAGGTGACTTTCCTGAAACTATGACTGCCAATCAACAAACTGAATCTGATGAACTTGCTTATACCTCCATTATCCATCATTTGTCTGATCAAGTTTTGAAGAAAGTAGGGAACTTAATAATGATAAAGCTTTGTGGAAAAAGTTAGAAGAACTATACCTAGTTAAGTCACTTCCTAATAAGTTGTTTCTCGTAGAAAGGTTTTTTAGTTTTAAGATTGATTTGTTTAAAGATTTAGATGATAATCTTAATACATTTAATAAACTAGTACAAGATAATACCAATGCTGGTAATAAGGTATCTGAGAAATACACGGTTGTAATCCTCCTTAATGCTATACTTGAGGCATATAAAGATATTAAAATTGCCATTAAGTATGGTAAAGATACCTTGACACCAGATGTGATTATAATTCTTTAAAAATTAAAGAGTTATAGACTAAAACTGAGAGATATGGGAAGGAATGTGAAAGTTTATTTGTGTGAGGTGGATCACTTACTAGGCAGGGTAATAATCAGGATAATCAAAATAATCAGAGGAATAATATCTTGAAGAAGAAATGGAAAGGTAGGTATAGGTCAAAGTCCAAAAATGGAAATATGAAATGTTATGGGTGTGGTAGGACATGACATTATATTAAGGACTATTTTAAGAAGAACGAATGAATAGAGAGATTAAAATAGATAAAGGTATCGTTGTTGAGCCATTAGGTGAAAAGACAATGATGTCCATGCTGTGACTGAACCCACCTCTAATATGAATACTGCAAATGTTGTAGATAGCATTGATCAAACTATTGAATGGATGTTAGATGCAGGTTGCACTTTTCATATGACCTATAAAAGACCATGGTAAGTTGATTTTAAGGACCTTGGTGGAGGTGAGGTAGTTATGAGTAATAATGTTGCTTGCAGAGTCAAGGGGATAGGTAGTGTGACTTTAAAATTTGAAAATGGGTATATCTTTACCTTAGAAAGGGTGAGGTATGTTCCTGATTTGAATAGAAATCTAAAAATATCAATGGGGAATTTAGATGACACAGGCCTGCATAGTAGATTTGGAGATAGCCACTTGAAAATAATTAGGGGTTCCCTAATCATTTTCAAAGGTACTGAAAAGAATGGTATCTATGTCACTAAAGCCAATGCTTTAAGTCACACTGCAGAATCCTCTATGGCTGAGAATGATGGAACCTTGAAATGGCATAATAGACTGGCCAATGTTAGTGAAAAAGGCTTGCATATTTTAGGTAAAATGGGAGCCTTTGGCAAAAATATTATTATTTGCACGTTAGGCAAACATCATAGGCTTCATTTCAATACTGGAAAACACAATACTGCATCTATCCTTGAGTACATACATTCTGATCTGTGGGACCCATCATCCACCACCTCTCAAGGTGGAAATAAATATTTTTTTATCATTAATTGATGATTTCTTAAAGAAAAGTATGGGGGTTTCTTTTGAGACAAAAATCAGACAATTTTGAAAAGTTTGAAAACTGGAAAACTTTAATTGAAAATCAAATAGGTAAAAAGATAAAAATTATAAGAACAGACAATAGTTTAGAATTTTGTAATGTTAATTTTGACAAGCTATGTGAAGATGATGGGATCTCGATGCATAAAATTGTTCCTTATACTCCACAGTAGAATGGTATAGCTGAGGGAATGAATAGAACAATTTTAGATAGGGTTAGAGGCATGATGTTTAGCTCAAGTGTCCTTAAAGTTTTGTGGGTTGAGGCTGTTATGACAGTTGCATATATCATAAATAGAACCCCAACAAGTTCTCTAGATAGAAAAACACCTAAGGAATTGTGGATAGATAAATTGGTAGATTATGCCCCCCTTAAGAACATTTGGTTGTGCAACCTATTCCGACCAAATTGTGGGAAAACTGGAGCCTAGGTCCTAGAAATGTGATACCTAGAAGGAGTGAAATGGTATAGGCTTTGTGCGAAGGACAATAAGGGTTTTAAGATGATAACCAATAGAAATGTTATCTTTAATGAAACTGAGATGCCTTGCCTGAATAATAGGAACTCTAGTAAAGTCCATGAAAATGAAAATGAAGAAATGAATAAATTGCATATAGAGTAAGGGTCTTCCCCTAATCTCTTTAATGAGGATCAGGGTGAAATTGAAAGTGGTGATGTGTCAGGTTCTCAAGAACCTAGTGAAGGCAATGTTCAAGGATCTAGTAGTGACTTGAAGAACCCTTTAGATGATTATCTCCTTGCCATGGATAGGACTAGGAGGGAAATAAGAGAACTTATAAGAATAAATGATTACTTATCCCTTGTTGTACTATCATAACAAGATTTGGCATTTAAAGAGCTAAAATCTTATAAGAAGGCTGTCAATTGCCAACTCTCTAAGGAGTGGCAGCTTGCTATGGAAGAGAAAATGAAGTCATTAGTGAAAAATAAACTGAAAAATAAACTTGGAACCTTGTGCCTAAACCTGAAAATAAGTCTTTAGTAGACTGCAAGTGGATATATAGTATTAAGGAAGGAAATTCTCTACAATAGCCCCTTAGATTCAAAGTCAGATTAGTGATAAAAAAAATTTATCCAAAAACCTGGCGTAGATTACAATGAGATTTTTTCCCCAATTGTAAAATACACCACTATAAGAGTTATGCTTGCATTAGTTGTACAATATGATTTTGAACTTGAACAAGTGGATGTTAAAACTGCTTTTTTGCACGATGATCTTGATGAGACAATATATAAGTGTCAGTAGTATGATGTCGCAGGCACCCAAAAATAAAACATATACTCTTCAAATTTATATGTAGTAGTGTGAGTAAAGATCGGTCCCACGAAGAGTGTCTAGTTTAATTTTATTTTATATTAACAAGAACAGGGGTTTTGAGTATAATGCAATCAATTTTAAGAAAATAACTAATAGCAATGCAAATTAATGGATTTAATTAAATGAATGGAAGAAACCTTGATTTAAGTCAACATCCACTGTCGGAATTTCACAACTGCTCCTGGATCCACATATGATTATCAATTCATTTTTTTAGCATTCAACGTTGGAATTATTTTTCCATCTCTCCTTAATTGTAGCTAATTAGAAAACAAACAATCCAATCAATTCTAATTATTAAACAACCCAAGACAAACGCTAAGGTTTAATTTAATAACAACCTTAAGTATTAGAGAAATCGATGAAACTAGATAGCACAAGCACAAGTGGTTGTATTTAATTTAGTCAAACGTTCTTCCTAAGATTTAACAATCTCTGACGTATCAAATCATTAAAACCTAGTTGCTTCACAAGTTAAAGGGATCAAACAATTACGGATTTAATATTTAACTCAGCTATAGATTGCAGCATATAATAAACTAGTAGGCCTCCTAGCAATTAAATGCAATAATTATGAAACTATGCGTAGAAGAACATCCAATACTCAAAACATGAATTAAACAATGAAAATAATTTAGATCTCACAGTTTGATTTGTCCCGATGATTCAATTTCCCTTAACCAAGTACAAGAAATTAACCACACATGAAAATTGAAAGTTTCAAAGAGAGGAAGAGAAGATAGAAGATTAGAGAAGAGAAAACAATATATATGTTGAAAATCTCCAATAATTATGACCATCGAGAGATTATTATATAT